TTATTTAAAAAAAAAAAGCCCCCCCCCCCCCCCCCCCCCATTTCCCCCTTCAAATTCAGAAATCCCCACTATAAGAATCACCTAAGTGGGGAATTCTAAAACGAGGAACCTTTACTTGTTTGAAGATTTTGTCTTGCAATAACTGGAACATGGCAGAAAGGTTGAACTTCATAAAGGCAGTCGATCATGTGTTAATAAGGTTGTGCACAAAAGCTAGGACATGCCAAAATATTCAGTTTTCGGTATTACATTTTGTTAATTAATTTTTTTTTCTACATTAATAGAATATCAATTAGTTTATGACTGAATTATGACATTGGTGCATGATTGTTGGATACAACAAGAGTCAACTCTGATGTGAGACAGAACAAAATCCCCATTTTAAAGAGAAGTGCATTTAAACTGTATCCAATTTGTGTAAAATGCCAAAACTCTCCATCTGTCAGAGAACCATGTGAGAAATTCATCAACAGCAATGCCATCAGTTTGGCTAGTCATCAAATGGTAATGACAGCTTCTAATGGCGCTTTTCCACTGTATGGTACGGCACGGTACGGCTCACTTTTAGGGGGTTTTCTACTGGGTACAGTACCTGGTACTTTTTTTTAGTACCACCTCAGTTGGGGTTCCAAGTGAACCGTACCGTTACCAAAACGTGACTTGTAAACTCTACTGATCTCGGATTGGCCGGAGAGAATAGTCACTACCTGCGTCACTGAACTTGCGACACAAACACAAAAGAACCGCTAGATTTAAATCAGCACAGCCAGCGAAGGATCGAACGCAACTGTTTTGGACGAGCGCATATTTTTTTAACAACCAAAAATTTTGTTGTCTGTTGCGGAAGAACAGACGTTCCTCTCGTTGATAGCAGAGGAGCGGATCCAGTAAGAGCTTGATGGGGCGACGCAGAATGAAAACGTTTTTTTTTTAGGAGTCGTGGTATTAGAGGCGGCGCAACTATAACGACATGTGAATAATCCCGCTCACTCTAAAGCGGTACTGAACTGGAGTGGAAACGCAAACCGTACCGAGCCGAGCCGAACCGTGCCATGCCGTACTGAGCCGTGCCGAGCCGAGTCGTACCACGCAGTGGAAAAGCGGCATAAGTACCACAGAACATGGTGCCCAGAAACCAGAACCAAATAAAATCCAATACAGTATTTGCATTTTTATCTTTATCATTTTCTCCTTTCCTTTAGTTTTTCAAGTGAGTCATCTGCATAAAATTGTATACAATTTGTGATTTACCCTTTTGACTAATTCATGATCTAGTTAGGGCAAAAGTGCAGGAATGTGCACACAAATTTAAAAGCAATCTTAATAAGATGTCTTATTGGAGAATTGAGATTCCATGTAATGTCATCTAAAGCAGTGAGAAATCCTTGTTAAAGTGCCTTTGTCTAGCTCTACTTAATACACAACCAGAAATTCTTTGAACTTAATGACTACGCATGTTCACTCTTCCAAAAGCTTCAGGCTCTACATAAAGCTACCATCTTACCTAGTAAAAGCTGGTAAAATCAGGTTTTGTTTGATCTTTCAGAAAAGAGAAATAAACACTGCCTGTCTGTTTTTGTTTTCAATTTCATTGCATCACCATTTGAATGGACTAAATGCAAAGCCTGCAAATGGACAAATGCAAAACAAGAAAATATTCAAATGCATGTTCTCACATGTCCACTCTCTGCTCTCTGCGAATTCATAGATACTAGACATGAAATAGTTACTTATATGAATGTGTGGTTTATCGTAAGCACGGATAAAAATAGTCTATAATACAACAGATTAAATACAACACAGCAATAATATACACACTGGCCTGAAGAAAATGGGTGTTCATTCAAAGAAGGTTTTCCTATGAATTAATTAGTAGAACAGTCCATTTCTCGTGTGCATTTGTACCCCTTGTTTCTGGAGAAAGCAGAATGAGAGCCGGCTCGCATTCCACAAGGTTGTAAATGTATCGGGTTACCATGAAACCAGGGTCTTGTTCGGCGTCCTGGGGTGTTACAAAGTATTTGTGAAATCTAGCTAACAAAATATATATTGTGTGTTGGAGTGTTCCAGACGCTACATTAAATTGGGAGAATTACTACTGTAGAAGTAGAACATGAGGCA